TATGGGGATGCATTTGCTCGTCACAGGAACAAAAGCTGGCAATGTTCCTGTGATGACCAAAAAATCCTTATTCTCATTCCTAACTATAAAAAATAAATATGTATATACGAGGATCTTATTTCAATTACATCAAGTGATGTCACATAAAAGAGTGCACTCCTAGGTAAAAATAAGTTGAAATGGATCCAAGTATTTTAAAAACCACATGGTTACATAAAGTTAATACAATTATAAGTTATGTCCTTATTCTTAATATATATTTTTCTTGGCATTCAGATAACCTATATTTGTTAATCTATAAAATATTTAGCACATGTCTAATTGTTTAGTTTATATATATTTGCCTAATTGTTTTTCTTCAACAGAAAACCCATAATTTATGTTTTATACGTACATTTATCAGGTACTCTGCCTTTTAGAACAGATATTTAAGATAAATGTGTTTGCTCTAAATTTGCTTTTAAGTAAAAATACAATCTTCAAGTAGTTTATAATTTTCAAAGTTATTGTACAAACTCATAAAATGATAAACAAATATAATTCTGTCTACAAAATATCTAAGGATTTTGACTTAAATATTTTCTTGATATTTCTTATAAAAGTACAATAATTTATTTATAGATTCTAAGGTTTTCAAAAATTGTTCCAAAGTATAACCAGAAAAAAAATTCTAAAAAAAAAAAAAAAAAAAGATGCTGCAACAAAAAGAAAACACACATTGGATCCTAAAGAAGAAAAAAATCATCTTTGGATAAAACAAGGTCTTTATATTCTAGATTTTAATGATAAAAGTATTTTCCTAAATAAGAAGATTTTTATATTATTACCTAAACAGATGATGTAAAAAGTTAGAACAATTAAAAAAGGGATTTATATATACTGGACTGACTATAAATTTTTAACTGATTAATTCAAGGATATTTCAGGCTATTTTCCTAATTTAACTATACTGATATGAGCTAAGATTTTGTCCATATTTTGTCATGATAAAACATTAAAATGTTAAGTTTATTTCTTTAAAAAAAGGTCTTTATTGCCTAATAATTCTTGCTGTTTAAGACAAAGGTTAATTTTGGTAAATAAATTCACATCGTTGATTAAACACTAAATAAATTAAACTGCTAACTTAGATCCCAATTTTGACAACTGTTCTTTAAGACTATATTTAATTGATTCTAAGACACAAAGACACTGTTGATTTTTACATATTTTGTTTGTTAGATAATTATAAAATTAAAAAAAAACATTTTATAAGACTCAAGTTCTCCAAATTAAAGTCATATGTTAATTTTGACCAATAAAGGTTACAAACTTTAAAAATTCATTAATATTATGTAAGTTCTCTGACTGAACCTATTATGTATAAAAATTCAGTAAGATTTATGTACTACTCCCTACCTAAAATATAACTACTCCCTACCTTAAAAAATAACCTTAATCATATTTTTTAAAGGCAATTAAGAGATCCCTATTTAAAGGATAATATTCTAAAACATACAGATATTTTAAAACCTTCTCTCAAAAAGAGATTGAGGATTCTTTCTAAATTGTTAGGAAGGATCGACTAGTCTATATTGGGAAATTATAATAAGTAAAAGATAAATCTATTCTTCTCATTTAAATACTTGTACTATTTATTATCTATAACTTAAACTAATGATACTATGACTTATGCCAAGCCTTTACTCAATTTTATTAAATAAACAAAAGGGGGAATACAGGACTCCAGAGACGCACACTAGATTTTACAAATATTTTAAAGTTTTTTCTTAAATGGTAATATTGAGAGTCTTAATGCTACCTAACACGACTCAGTGAATTATATCAGATATCAAAGGAAAGTTTAAACCAGTCATCATGATAATGACTGAGAAACCTGGCTCAGGAAGGTAAATTTCCAGCTGTAGAGTTTACAACCATGCAGCTTCACGAGCTTGTCAGGTAAGCAAAAATTATGAAAAGACTTGTATGAACCCATTTCCCAGGTCCACCTTTAATGTGTCTTACAGTGTGGACTGGAAAGTCCACCCATAAAACTAGATTAATTGTCCTAACTGTAATGGTCAGTTATACCTATATATTGATTCTGTGGTAAACAGACTGACTGGAAGTATCTTTTGAGAAAAAGACAGTGTTGAAATAAAGGATCGTTCCACATCCACATGGATGGTGGCTATGGACCAGATGTAAGTAACACCAACTAAGGGCCAGTTATCTATGAGGGATCATGCCCTGAGTCTTAGCACAGCTCTCCTCTTCATCTATCTGTGTTTCTTGGCTTTGTCACAATATTATTGTTTGTCTGTCTATGGCCTTTCTCCTTTCTTCCTGAACACAGCCTCACCAGCCCAGTGCTGTGAGCTGGGGCCTCCATGGAGAAGAAACCTGAGTTTGTCGATCCTAAGGTAAATTCTGGTATGGAGACCACGGGGGCATTATCTATCAAGGAGACAGAGAGCCCTCTTGGGGACAATGCCTTGCACACTCCACATCACCCTGTTTGGCCCTGAAGAATGGCTGGTTAGTCAATGACAGGTAAGATTCCTCAAGGGAGGGACAACCTAAGACAGGCACAGTTGCAGAGCGGCCATCAGGAGAAAACTTGGGGGCCAACAGAGGTGAGGCACAGAATCTCACCCAGCCACACACTGGTGCAAAGGCCTAAGTCTTCACCCCTCTGAGAGAGGTCTCCTGCCCCCCATAACTGCTTTGCTCCCCACGTCCAGAGACCTAGTCAACAGTGACTGCCTGCTCATCACAGCAGAAAACAACTGCAGCTATGGAAATGGGACATGTCTGGATGCTTTTCTCTTTCTTGGTTCCCATTTTTTCTATGCTTTTTCCTTTTCCTTTCTTCTCTCATCAGGGTTCTCCTTTAGCAATACACTTAATAAAGGGGAGGAAATGTTGGAATAGCCTTAAGTTGTAACTAGCAGCTATGAACAGCTTGGAAGCTTGAGGAATCCACATTCCATGTCTTCAGGCCTGACAGAAATACCTGTAGGATGGGGTGCTCTGCTCTAGCGAGCCGTCAATGAAACCACGTGCTCAGCATTTGTGGTACAGGGCCAAACTACCTTGACTCAGTAAGCCTCTTCTCTTAGGGACAAAGACTCTTCCAGATTGCTTTCCACCATGACAGCAATATTTAGAGTTTCCTCATAGTGTGGTTACATTAGGCAGAAGATGATTGGCTTATGGATATTATCTTGCTTATGTATGATTGACGGGCATGCCCCACTTGAACCCTATAACAGTTGTGTGCATTCCAAAAAGAAACTGAACTACTGGACATCAACTTGAGGTTTGTCACCAGCCAGTTATCACCAGCTCCCATGACTGAGGTAGCCAAAGTAGCCGAACAACAAATTGACCACACCAGTGACAAAAATGTATGCTAGACAGCAGATAAAAAACCCAAGCCAGCCAATTATGCTGGACTTTAGTGACTAAGACTACATTTACCTATATGGACAATTGTTGGGAAGATTATTAAAATAGATTTTTCCAAACGTATTTATATTACTGACAGACCTAATTAACTCCTTAAATGTGAGAGTTAAGAGAAAAAATGATAAATAACCTGTAGCCTATAAGAATACAACTTATTGTGTCATTAGTTATTGCCAGCTAATATTTCAGAGCTATAATATGCTGAAGTTAATATTCAGGCTTTAAAACAGGTGTATGTCAATTAACCAGACCTAGGCAAACTGCTGGTCTCATAATCCCTGAAATGACTACTTTAAATATTATTCCTTGTTTATTCAATTGCAGCCTTTGTGGCTATGTCTTAAAACTTACAATGTATGGATTTTCTTAATGTTGACTTAAATTACTTCCAAACTCCTTCATGGTCAGATAAGTGCTGATGGAAGGATGAGAACTAAGTAATTATGTTCTAGAAGACAATGTAATAAATAATGTGAGTGAGCCCTTTGCTCTATGGTTTATGGAGAGACAAATAAATAATGTGAGTGAGCCCTTTGCTCTGTGGTTTATGGAGAGGCCTAAATGCCATGGCAATGAAGATGTCTGTTACTATGGCCAAACACAATGCATCCCAATAAAATAGGAAAAACATTAAAAATCTTCTGATGAGTGTTTGGTGAAGTAATAATAATCCAGATTATTGTGTTGATTGTGTTATGAAGATGATATGTTTTCTACTAATTGTGTTATGAAGATGATATGTTTTTTACTAATTCCTTTTGTTTTTCAATAGCAGATCGTGATGACCTTGGACCAAGAGTCAAGTGACTGAAAGATAGAATTTCCCAGTGGCAGGGGCCTGATGGTCAGGGATGTGCTCCCTTCAGTATTTGTAGCCTTGCTTCCTGAAGGATTTTTCAATCTATTCCCTGCAACTCCCATGGTCACTTTACTAGATGGCAGACTGCACTAATGGGTAATAGCAAGGGGAAACATCCTTCTGAATAGTTGAGCCATTGGGGTGGGGTCCTTGCCAGGAGAACTATTCAAGCTCCAGATTTTTTTCCCCAGTGACCAGTGGGGATTTGTGCAAGATACTAATACATCCTGGACTCCATTTCTTCAGTTGTGAAAGGAAGGGATAATGTGGAGAAACTTAGCTATTTTCTGGTTTTAGACAGTGTTAGATATCTAAGTCAGTCTAGTCCATGAGACAACTAAAAAATATTTGACTTCTGTCAGCAAAAATGTATGCGATTCACTTTTGAGGAAGCATATTTGTCTTCAGATATTTTTCTTGAGAGGCAGAGTATCTCTTGGGATTGGAGAAAGAGAGAGGGGAATAAAGCCAAGTCCTGATATTCATGGACACTAAATATATTCCAGAAACACACTCCTGTGTTGAAAATTCTCCCTTATTATGGATTATAACTTTATTGTAGTAGAAATGTAAAGGTTAATAGATAGACAAGATGCATAAAACAATATAATGGGAAAATACTGGGCTGTCAAAATTTGGACCATTGGAAAGAAAGAAAGAAACAAACAAAGTACACCAAAAAACTCACCAGGCCTTTTAATGTTCCTAGACAATTCCCTAGAGACAGCAAATATTGATCTTAGTGCTTCAAGGGTAATCCTGGTCTAGGCCCAATAAAGTGAAGGGCAGGTAGGTGAGCAACAGATTGGAAAGTATTTCCTTTGCTTCCAGAAACTCCAAATCTAGGGAAACTGTAGCACATAGCTGTAGAATTTTTTAGCCTTCTCAAAAACTCCAAAAGAGGCTGTGCTTTTCTGTACTTCTAGAACTTTCTCCAGGCTTCTCTTTTGTTCAGGATTAAAGTTAAATTTTATCTCAGGTCCATCATGGGCAAATGCCCTTTTAGCCTTCTTTCCCAACTGTAAGAAAGATCAACACTAGGAGAGCCTGGAAGTGTTTGCCTTGGAGATTGACAGCTCTGCCTCTGCCTTTGATGAGTTCTCAATTTGGAAGAATGAATTAATTTATATTTTGGAAATGTGGAGAGGAATCAGAAAGCAGAAGGGAGGCAGCAAAGGACAAATGTAGAGGTCCCTCCATGATTCCCTGGATCTCTGCTTTAAGCTGAGAAGTTGGAAAAGTTATTTGAACCCTGAAATGGTATGGCCTTCTTATAATAGGGCATTTAATCCACTGGAATGAACTTGTTTGCCAATTCTCAGTCACTGGCCCAGTGACACAAAGGTGGGCTCCCAGAGGCTGTGTTTCTAGGAGGTGGTAGAGATGGCTTAGCAGGAATCTCACCCTTGACAAAAAGGCTCATTTTTGACAACCCACGTACATCCCACATTAGCACAAGGAGCCAGTGTCAACAATTAAGGGTTTTTTTGTTGGGCTGGGGGTGTAGCTCAGTGGCAGGAGCACTTGCCTAGCATGTGTGAAGCACTGGGTTTGATTCTCAGCACCACATATAACTAAGTAAAACAAAGGTCCATTGACAACTAAAAAAAAAAAAATTTAAAAAAGAGGTTTTTTTTGTTTTGTTTTAATTTTTAAACAACTCACCTTCACCACCAAGCCAGTAAGACTCCTGTAGAAAGAAATACCAAGGAAGTGGGGTTCCATGGTCCCCTGAAAACAGAAAAGCAAATAAGAAACCTAAGTTAACTGCTATCTCACCCTACCACAGTTCTATAAGATCTAGAATGTATCTGTCTCCACCTCAAATTATAACTACAGATATTTATAGTTTGCAAGCCATTATATAGCTATCCACAGGCTACCAGAAAGATTACTGCTTTCAACATGTTGTAATGCAAAAGGTCATGTTCTTTGGGTGTTACTAGCAACACTAATAGTGATGGTCTTGGCTGATATCAGTTTTCCAAGAAAACGTTTTATTGAAGAATTGAGTCATATCAGCAGTTACCAGATAGCAGAAATGATGATAATCACTAACACTTGTTGGATACTTTCTCTGCATCAGGCTTTGCTATAAGCACTTTCAGTGTGTGAAATAATTTAATCCTCAAAACAATCCTAGAACATAGGTAGTAATATTATTCTTGTGGATACAGAAAATGAGGCTCTCTGAGTTTGAGCCATCTGCCCCAGGTCACAGGTAATTAAGCAGAAATGCAAGAATTCCAACACAGGCAATCTGGTTCTAACATCACTGTTTCAAGCCCTCGTTCTACTGGATCCAGCTGGGGTTCAAGGAAAAGACTCCCAAATTTCTAGTCCAGTGTTTTTTGCAACTTTTGCTCCCTACAAAATATTGGTTTTGTAAGAACACTGTCCTTGCTTTTTAAATAGTTGTTGTGGGTCATGATTTTCCCCCCACTGAACTGTAAGTTCCTCAGGGCAGGCCTGGGTCTATCTTTGCCACCCCTTAATTCCCAGAACCTGCTGGAACTCACACAAAGGTGCTGCATAGTAAATAGTTGTTTGCAAAACAAACTATTTAGCTTGGCTAAAACCAAGCTCTTGAATTATGCAGAATTTCAAAGTACATCTCCTTCTACCAGCACAGGAGATATAAGAAACAGATGATCAAGTTCAAGATCTTGCTTGGGTCACTGCCAGGGGTTGAACTGTCTCCCTCTCCAAAAGACAAGTTGGAGTCAGTGGTATTATATATAATATCTTGGTCTTAGTCCTTAATTCCTGTGCAGGGCACAGGGCTCCTAAAACCCTTGACATTTCCTGAGTGATAGGAGTGTCTTCTGTTATTTATGGACCCCTTTTCTCAATGTACCCCAGTTATTTTTAATGAGGTGACTCATTCAGGGTGGGGCAGGATGGAAACTGGATATCAGAAAGAACAAATTTGTGAAGTGACAAACTTTTAGCCCCAATCTCTGACTTGTGGGGAGAAAGAGCTCTGCAGATTGAGGTAAAAATTCTTGATTAGGACTTGGAGAGCATCCAGGTTGGCAAGAACATTTTGGTGCAGGGAGGGTTTTGGGCACAGAGAAGACATGGAACCCCCCACCCCCACCCCACTGTGGCCTTATGCATCTCTTCTATTGGCTGTTCCTGAGTTTAATGCTCTATAAAAGTTGTCATTGAAATTAGGACACTGTGGCAAAATGTGGCTATCCTGGTATTGCCTTTGCCCCTGATGTCTGGATTGAGGGAACTCTTGTGAACTGAGCCTGTGGCATCTTTGTTAATTCTGGATACTGTTAGAACTGGGTTGAATGGTTAGTGTCAGAGAATTGGTTGGTGTCTGAAAAAAAAAAAAAAACAAAAAAAAAACCACATTTGGTGTCAGAGCAGTGTTGAAATAAAGACACCAAATTCCAACCCCATATATCTCAGAAAATGACGTCATGTGGAAATGGGTTATTGCAGATATGTTCAGTTAAATTGAATGAGGTCACACTGGAGTAGGGTGGGCCCCCATCTAATATGACCGGTTTATAAGTAGATAGCCAAGTAAAGGCAGACATACCATGTGAAAATGGAAGACTCAAGTGATGTATCTCTGTGCAAGAAGAGGCAGAGTACTGAAAAACCTGCAGAAGCTCATTTCAGGCAAGGAAAGATCCTTCACTTACAGGTTTTGGAGGGAACATGGCTGTGTTTTGGTTTTGGACAGTAAGATGCCAATTTCTATTGTCTTAAGCCACCCATTTTTTTTTTTTTTTTGAG